ACAAAATTAAAAATAGTACAAAAACTGAAAGAGAAGAATTTAAGCAATCCTGTATTTGGTAGGGAAGGAGTGGAGGATATGAATGATTTTTTATTGTCCAGGACAAAATAAAGGGGGGATTTTTTACTCTTTTTTTCTTCTAATTCAAAGTGGTATGAGGCAAATTGTCTCAAAACCATTTTGAACATATGATTTATATACTTTTTAACACCTTGTTTTTGCTTTGTGTAACATAATTATAACCATGTTTCAAACTATCTTATATTTTTTTTCTATTAAAAATATGTATTTTGTTTAAAGTGATCACTTCTATTTCCTTGATATCATGAATATATATATTTTTTTATTTTAAAATGCATCGAAATGCTTGATCATATTTATATATTATCATAATGAAATATACGGAGATAACGAACCGTATTCAAGCTCAAAGGTCAATTGGACAATACAAATCACAAGCAGAGTAAATGCGGACGTTTAAAACATTGGAATAAGTAAGAATTATTTTATAAAGGCTACATCAATGACAATTTATGAAAAAAATATCATGAAATTACTTTATTTTATGGTTTCTTATTTTACTGAATAAAAATCAAACTCTGCCAGAAATTATTCTGTTTCGTCGATATCGTAAACAGAATATTAATATGAAAAATATATATGCATATAATTATTCTCCATTTCACAAAATATGTCTCTAAATTTTTTAATAAAACTGCATATATCTAGAATATGAAACCTTAGAAATGATTACTTCAAAATTGTGTCCTTTTTACTATACCCCGGAACATGTAGTAATATATTAACAATTGTTATTTCTAGGAATATCAATTTAATCTATTCTTCAAAGAAGGTAATATAATATTCATATAATATAACACATTTCTTTTGTTGCATTAATTCTTTGTTAATTTCGATAATAATATCTTAAATTGTATTTATAAAATACAGTATTCAAACCCAAAAATATATGACATTTTGCATCTAGATGTACAGCTTTTTAAATATAATGAATGAAACTTATTAAAGTTACTTTATATAAAAGTCACTAAAATGATTTTTATCCTTTTTCCAAAACGGGTATCACTTGATAATTAAGCAAAGGTATGTCTACCCTAAAAGGGGGTTGTGACAAAGTCCATTATGTTTGGCGCCAATAGGATTATGTTTGACAAGGTAAGTCAGCCACCTGTGACGAGACAGGTGTAAATACTAAGATACATGTAACTTTCTGATTATCTGGGTGATATCTATATGTGTATACATAAAATCAAACAGAAAAATACCAGATATGGTGGCTTATTTGACCTTAAGTATGAATTTATATCTGACATCTCTTTTGACACAGTAAGAAAAAAGGCACAGACCACCGCAATTGTTTGTATATCAGTAAAGTAAATCAGTTTAATGTCTATAGTTAAGTGATTTATGCTTCTTTATTTATATCCAATAATATTTAAATACTAAAATGACAATAAACACTCATTATCCAATAATTATCGAATTTTCACACCACACGTCACGACTGAGAAAGACTCCAAATCTAGATTAGAATAATAAAAAACGGAATGAATAAACAGATCAATAAAATGTTTTAATTGAAAAGAAAGATAACAATGAAAGTATACCTTTTGTGTGAAATGTAGTGAAAATGACGAGTACAATGTAATCAAATTGTCAAGTCCACTGAAACAATACACACACCAGAAGCAGAGCATACTTGAACCTCTAATTAAAACATTAAAGGTGGGATCATACCGGTATGCCATGGAGGAGTAAGTATCCCTTATGCTGACTTTAAATTAATGGTCTGTTGAAATCCTTGTTTAATCAACTTGTTTGTTCATAGCTTGCCGCGTTTTAGAAAATGTTTATAAGTAGAGCTTGCTCTTGTGTATCGAAGCAACTGGAAATATGTTATTTTAACATTGTCCAAACTTTTCGATCCCCCCTGTCATGTACACGTGTATCAGTATACCTTTGACTCCTTGTATGGAAATGGTATTTTTATGTTTTGATTGCGTTTTTGCGCAATTTATAAATATTTCCTAAATAAGTGTTGTGAAATTGAATGTTATAATATTGGCAATGGACATAGAGCAGCTACGATTTGAATAAAAATATAATTATCCATTTGTGTTTTCATTTATCATTGTTTCATATGCATGTACTCTGTGTATTTTATTTAAATATTATTTCATATGGTTTGTATAAAAGGACAATTAGTATATTTACTAGGCATGTAAAATTCAAGATGTTACTATCTGCAGTTAAGGCGTCTTTCTAGACAAAACTAACTTAAAAGTGTTTTAAAGCGCAACTGAAGAAAAGGGTTTGGTTTAGAAAAATAAAACACTTTGTGATGGTTTCCATGCACGCATTGTGTGTCACAAAAATTGGTCATTGACTTTTCGGTCAATAAAAAGATCCTGAAATTCTCCCGTCTTTGTAAACAAACTTGTAGGAAAAAATGAAAGCTGTCAGAAAGCACGACGTGAAACATTGAAATCCAACTTTACATCTAGGGAACTGGGAATGCTGCGATAGTTCTTTTTCTCTCTAGGGAAAACAAGGTTCTGTTCACCTCTCGCCATTAGAACATACATAACCGAGCATCATCACTTATATAGGAGTTAATGTAAATAAACTGAAGGATTGATGTAGGCCATGTGTAAGTGTGTACAAAATAAAAACGACAACTAGTGCACCGCCTCACCACGGGAATCAATGTGTCACCTGTTCCTGGTTCTGGTGTTTAGAATATTGATGAAACATGTCTACAGTATGATTTATGACCAAGACTGGACGAGAGAAATGTGTATTAAATTCTACAAAACTCCATCGTAGAATATATTAATTTTGATATTTGATATTCCTTGCAAGTTCCTGACTTCATTTTTCTTCATTTATCGTGTTTGCATGTAAGAAAGGGTCTTTAAGTGCAAGAAGGGTAGAGTAGCTCCTTTATGATATTAACACGCCAATTTTATATAGTAATGATCTGCTCTTTGAAATATTATTATTACCCGAGAGCGAAAACGTATAAAACTGTGGTCGGCCATTAAAGTGGTAGTAATGAAAGAGACATAATTTCAAACGTCTAGAGGACGGACCACACGAACAGATCTAAAGTGAGTAATTTGCGGCATCTCCAAATAAGCGTTTATGTGAAAAAGATTACATGCTTAGATTTTCACTGCAACGTTTTAATCAAAAGAGGAAGAGTCTTAATGATACTGAGCAAACATTCAGCCTTAAACTTTATTTGTAATGATTACAAATACCGCTCATTTCATTGAAAATACATTCTTAGGTCGAAAACAAATAATGAATAATGGCGAAAATAGTTGTCAAGAGGATTCACTCTAATTATGGAACTATATTTCCCTGAAACTAGACCATTTGTGTTGCGCTTGTTTCCTTTATGTACTCAGAGTAATTGCTCATAAAGAGTTGTCAACAAGAGTTGTAATTAAGAGAGAGAGAGACAGAGAGAGAGTCTAAAAGAAAACCAGAACAGGGGAACAATTAACAAAACAATACTTGAGAAAACTAACACAGGTGCACTTCGTAAGAAAATCCTTCTTCCGTGTTCTTTGTACTTTGTTAAGATCCTTGTTCGTGTATACCAAATGCTGTTAACGTATAAATTATGTATACCCGGATACATATATTTGTTGAAAACATCCCTTTTGCAAATGGACATTTTTCAGGCTTAAATCCGTACAGGTAACAATTCGAGGAATATTAATCAGTAAACACACGCTACATTCTAGTTTTATCCATTCCTATTTGAAAACGCGTTAAAATATTATTCACAAAATTTTAATAATAATTTTCATGTTCTAAATTAATTAAGAAAAATTTTGTTACAGCATAGTTGACAACTTTAAAAATTGTTGAATGAAATAATTTAAACTATTGTTAGGGGGTTGTTGGAAGATATATCTTTGTCGTATTTTTTTTAACTATTTGAATTATGTTTTATTTGAAATTTTGTAATAAAAAAGTTTTGAAAAAATATGTGTTTGTAGTTTCTTTTAAAGCTTCATTGTACGGTGGATTTATACTCCAGTAAAAGTACAATTTAACCATACATTATAATCTTTATTTGAAGAAAACATACCAGGAAAAGAGATTTTTTGTTCAAAGAAAAAGAGGGGGAGAACATTTTTAATTCTAGATTTATGAATGAACCTGATATAAAAAACACAACACAAATAGACAAGGATATTTTGTTTGAAAAGCTATTTTTAAAGTAGCACTTCAATGAATGATGAAATAGAACTCTCAAATTCAATTTAAAAATTCTTATCATTTTATTGTCAATGGAATTTCAAAATAACTTTCATTCGAACATAGTCAGAAATAAAGTGAAATTAGACTTCATCGAAACAGAGAAGATGTACGAGGTGAAGACAGATTTGCAGATAGCATTATGTTGGATGATTTACCCTTCAAATGAGATAACGAGAGTTGAAGAAAACTCAGAAATAACTCCTTCTCCCTCTAATCTCATCATTAGCAAAAATATACAAAGTCATGAAAATTATGTCCAAATAAAGAGAACCCCCATAAATCATACAATGATTACATCTTGGAGGGCCACAGTCAGCGGTCGATGAAGCATGGCTTGAATCTACCCTGGAATTAAAGTGAAAAAAATCAAGTAATTATTTTGAAAGTTTACGTTTTGGAAAAGCGATTTATGTAAACAGCCGTCTAACAGAATTAGTAGAATCCAGGTGTGAGGAAATGAATTATCAGCCATTTTATATCAATAGAGAAATTCTACACACATGTTGCAACAGTGTTTTGACTGTTTGAAGCGCTTCCAACAGATCTCTCGTATTACAGCAATGGTGAAACGGCAAAGATAGCGCGATAACGCGCGCGAGGATACCATACGACTGCCCGTTAAAATGATATCTTGTCTATCAGGAACCTAAAATATCAAAGCTAGAAAAATCAGATCCCATTGTCGGTTAAAGTGAAATATTTTATCGATAAGCATGTGTATTCTCCCTCTATATTTCTGTGTGTGCATAATATTTGTAGATTTATTTTAGACACGGCAAGAGATGCATGCGTGACATGGAATTTTATTCTGGATTGCTTCCCTTGATTTTTACATTAAACATTTATTAGAGGTAGGTCATAGTGATTTTTAGAATTTTACGGAGACGTCTAGAAAATGAATTTATTGATTTTTTTGATCGACATAATATTTGGGATACACTTTGTGAAAACAAAGGGATCTTTATGTTTTGTTGATATACATTCTATTTTTGCTGTTTTGGTATGAAAATAAAATCCTTATTCACAGCAAATATTAAATTTGTTTTTATAAAGTTATCCCATTGACTTCGTTAAAAACAGAATCAAAACATCGAGCTATGAGACCTAATTGTACACTGTTGCATGTAGAAATAAATAAACAGAAGTATCTTTTCAGCGTTTTTTAAACATCAAAGATTTTAAAAAATAATAAACTTAAGATCAAGAAAGTGAATCGATATTTCGAAGATAAAAATTCAACAGAAAAAAATCCTTAGTCGTGCTGTGAGCATATTATTCATGCTTTCGTGAGTATATGCTATAGCTTCAATATTTAATACAGTAGTTCATGTTTTGGTGTTATAAGTGAGTAGAGTTCAGACACATCAGAGTTCACGTGCCGCAAATAAAGCTCTTCTATTGCCTGAAGGTTCCGAATCCGCTCTCCGGCCAATCAATTCTCGTTTGTCTATTGAACTTTACGACCAGTGAGGGATTTACATCAGTCGGGGGAGAATTTTTTAGATTGCAATTCTGTCTTTATAGACTTAACCTTAAAAGGAAATTAAACTTGACTATTTTTTTTTCAAATCCAATATTCGATTTATATTTTTAATCCCAGAAAACCTGAATTTTTAATAGGGATGTGGAAAATATTTCGTTTGAATACTTTTGAAAAATCTTTTTTAAAAATAGAATGTTGAATCTATCAATAAAAGACATGCATAAAAAAACAAGTCTTGAAAATCTTTCGAGAAAACGACCTTTATTAGCATTTTGCACATGCCTTTAAAATTAATCTCTTTCATTTCACTTTTGAAAGAATAAAAGTAAGTAATTTCAAAAACAATTTAATATAATTATCAACTTCAGTATTCCACATTATTTTTGCCATAACATTTTTCATTTGAGGAAATTATACACAAGAATATACAATTAAAAAGAGTGGCATATTAATAAGATAAAAGTAAAATAATACAAGACATGTATATAAAAAAGACATTACATGGTGATAAATGTGTGCGGTCTATCCAATACCCCTAAAAACATACACCACATATTTACACGTATTGGGGATATTTTACAATTCGTGTGACATGAAAAGTAAACGGAATATATCATACACCACATCTTATTTGCAGAGCAGTTTTTTGCAGATTGGCGCCAGCATATAAATTCCAAGAATCAAAATTGGTCTAGGGTTGATAAGAAAACAAACCAACACACGTGCAACTGTCATTCAAAGTAAAAGCCTCGCCAGTGTATACATTGAAATTTTATTTTCCTTTTTATTGACGAACACGGTGTATATTGTGAAGTAGTTAGGATGATGGTAATGACATTTCATTGATAGATTCGAGGATCCGTATCTCTTTATGAAGATTTGTTATCAGTGTTTCTTTCATGACTGCGATAAGCAGCTATGCTGCATTTTATCAGGATCTGAATCTCAATAACGTAACGCTGAAAGACAACTCTGTACCATTTCTATTGGATCTGCTATATCTGAAGATTGATTGTTTTTATATAGTTATAGCTCTTTTGCAGCTACTTCCCAAAGAACCAATTGAATATTTGAAAATATTTAAAATATAATAATCATTAAACTGATATATTTTAACATAAATTCGGCCTTGTGCCCAGTTCCTGTGTAATTTGGAATTAAAATAAAAACTGTGTTCAAATCAAATCATAAATTCGGTTCAAATTCATGGGCTGATATTGATGTTACATATGTTTTAAAAAAGATTTTCAAACAAATAGATCAATTTAAGAAAGTTGATCGATATTTCAAATATTAACTATGTCAGATATTGGCTGATATATGAAACATTTTCTCACGAATTTGAGAAGGTTGAAAAGGAGAAGAGATTTGAAGACGTCATTTCCTTAATCTGTTTCAATGACATCTGCCAGGACTGTCACTAAATTTAGGAAAAGTTCATCGACTTCTCGGTTATTTCTCACATTCTTACGTTTGACTTACAATTGTTTCCAGCTCACAGTGACTAATGATTCATGTTCCTCCTTCAAATTTTGAATTGCAGGTCTGGGGGATAATTTCGAATGCTGGGTATGAAAATATACATATTTCAATCATGACATGTTCATCTGTGTGTTCTTAAATCAGTAGTTTAATTTCTCACTGTGTGTTTTTTTTAAAGGTTTTGTATGATATGGTCAGTGACTTGTTGAATAAATATCGAGGCATTTGTTTGAAAAACAAAAATCTGTTTTTCAAGAAATGGATCGTGACATTTTGGAGACTTATTTACCATTGTTTATTAATAATTCCTTTTCTTTTTAAAAGGGCAAAAATGTAAGGCTTGACTTTTCTGAGGATAAGGATGAATTTTATTTTTTGTAAATCTATGAAACATAAATCATAATTACCTCGTGCAGTTATGAGTCGTGGTCAAAACGTAATCAAATTCAAAGACAGGTTCATAGAACGTGCAAATTGAAGTCGATTCGATTTAAGAGCAATTAACGGCCATCAATCAGCTCTAGATAGACTACCTTTATCCGGAGAATCTCTGTCCTATCGTCAATCGACCATCTGCTCTCTTCTTTACAATAGTTGCAGTGACTTATCACCCTTCTAGAGGCCCTGGACATATCATCGCACCTCGATTGTTTGTGTTGTGCTATCTAGTTCCAACCAATTCCACGAAAGCTTGTCAGTTTTGCATTGGCTTTATTATGATAAATGTATCAACATCATTTGATTATATTAATCACCGTATAATTACACTGACTATTAGCTATTAATATTATCAGTATCTGCTTTTTCCTGAGCAAAAGGATGTGTAATGAAAAACATTGTCTTGTTATGTCTCTCTTATCTGCTTTTCTCATTACTTGCCTATCTCGGTATTTATGGTGCACTATTGGCAAAAGTAACCTTCAGGGAATGGCTAGTAAACGACATGATTTAATAAATATTCTTTTGTAAATGCTTAATGATGATAAATCGAACCTGATAAATGTTCAGAAGTCGAGAATTCTCCTTCGTCTTTTGCGAACTTAGCGCGGCGAGGAGACAATATTTTTCTCCATCCGTTTATGGGACCCTCGGTCAATTAAACAGGACCTATTTACCAAAACATACCATACTTTGACCGCGGACCTCACATTAACATAATGTTAATTTGTTATTTTTATGGCAAGAAGTTGAAATTTTAAAAGCCTTTCTATTGCACCATTACTAATCATTAAACTTTTATGCTAATTCGCCGTAATCCACGCTTTTTAGACTTTAGAATGAAAATATTCTCCTTTTAAAATTTGATCAAAGGCCGATTGGTTATGGACTTCCCACTATTTACACAACATAATAATTTATACGAATCGACACTGGCGCCAAAGTTTACATTAGACACAATAGAACCATCGTATAAATAAAATTATGAGTTAGTTAAACATAGAGGGCCTCCGCCATTCATCAAGGGATGAATGCAGTACGCCCAAAATCAAATCAAACACAATGTACAATATGACATGCGAGCCTCCTCGCTCAGTTCTGAACAGCTCGGCGAAATTGAAACTTTTTAAAAAAGGGAACTCTAAAATACACTTCAGTTTTTCTTATCAGATTAAGGGCGATAATATCCCATCTCATGTATTTGGCGTGTGCTCGCGTGACAAGGGTATTATCACACATGTACTGTGTGTATCTATTGGGTGTGTGTGTATTCGATATACTGTATTTGTTGCAGTTTGAATTATGTTTATTATATCAATTTTTTTTCAATTTCACATTTTTATTTTATTAGGGAGATTGTTTGAATAATATCTGTATGATTTACATATGTATAATATAGTCATTCTTTTATTTTTCTTATACTCTTTAAAACTGTTGGAAAATTTATATTATTTTGAAATTTTCAATATTTATCTCAAATAATTACATGTATCTTTCATGACAAACTTCTTATTTGTTTTTTATACTAAAGTGCCAAAAATGCAATATTTTCCTGCATATTATGAAAAGTTGTTTATTTCAATTTTTTTAAAATTAAACAAACTAAAGTTATTGAAATATACTTCAAAGTTTTTTTCCCCAATTCTTACGACGCAGAAAAACGATCAGAATTTTTTTTTATCATGAAACTAGTTTCTTTTTAATTTGTATTTTATTATAACAAATCAAATATAAAAATTTATTGCAAATGTATTATATATTAACGCTTTTTGTTTATATTTCTGGTTTAAGTTCCATATTTATTACGGAAGTAAACGTTAAAAATGCCATCCCACAATTTCAAATTAAAGATAATAATTAATTGCATATTCATAATAAAATTTCGTTTCCTGTTTTAATCGTTGCTTAAAGTTCCAATTTTTATTGCGGAAATGAAAGTAAAAGTATCATCCCACAATGTTCACAAGGTGTGTTTTCTCCACCGCTAACTTAACCACGTGAGTGGCCCGGAGGCTGAAAGGTACTCCCGCGGAACAAAATGGCGGAAATAAAATCCACATTTTATTACCCTACCCTGTAATTCCTATATTCAGTGACTTTCTACTAGAAATAATTGAACATAGTTTTATTAATGTTACAAATAATTTTAAGAATTTTTTATTTGTATACGATTAAATCAATTATTACACGCTCAAGCTATCAATGAAAATTAGTGTCTTAAAAATAAGCTTAAATATCTAACATTGTATATATATTCTTGAAAGCAGAAACTTACCGGGGTAACCCATTTATTCCAAATCAACAAAATAATGAATACTAAGTGTTTTAGACAACTTTTTCCTACAATAAACACACAAAACATAGCTCTGACATAAATGAGGATTTTTGATGCTTTTTAATGTTTTTTTTAATCTGCAGCTCTTTGAAGTTATGCTTAAATATAATATGTTTCATTCTAAGATAAGTAGTGGCTTGCTTATTTTAAAGTGGCATCATGCTTAATATAATTTTACAAAGTAAACATTAAGATATAGTAATACATTTTACATCTGTAAATATTCCTCCTAAATTTACGAATATTTACAAGTTTTTAAGAGTTATCAGGTCTGTGAACTATGCATGTAAATGTAGCAAAAAGGTAAGTTCTTTTTCACTAAATATAAAAAGAAAACGCTTACCAAATGTGCAATTGTTTTCCTTATCGTACAAAGTTAAGAGAATAACTTTCATTTTAAAACAGAATTGGGGAAAAAACAACAAATGAACAGATGAAACGGTTTGCTATGACAATGAATCCTTCTCACCAGAATGAATGTTCCTCTTTTGAAGCACACTGTCATACATGTAATCTTCAATGGAGGATAAATGTCAAACAGGCGTTAACTGTGAGTTTCGAAACATTTGCTAAAACTCATTTGCCATTTACAAATAACATATAAAAACATGGGTGCTTTGGAAAGTTGCAAGAAAATAATGGTTGTACTTATACCTGCTGATATATTTCAGCAGGTATAATTTTTTAAGTAACATAATTCCTTATAGTTAAATCTTGCATTACATGTAGTCAAACATGCAATAAAACAAGTTAGAGCAAAAAACACACTGAACAATATAAATCTTCGAAACTAAGAAAGAAGAAAAATTGTTCTGAAGACACATAACTACATGTAGTGTAAGGTATTTGTTAAGCAGTACAATTTCCAATTCTAATATGTAAAATTCTTGGAAATCATTACTCGCCCCATGTGTGTACGCTGGCTCTTTTCAATAAAGTATATTTGATTCGAAAGTTCTTGAAATGTTCTTGTTTGCCATCTTTTAAGTTAAGCATTCGAAATTTTGCTTTAAAATAAAAAAGAGAAAATTCTAATATTCAAAAGATGATGAAAACAACAATCACAGCTTGTAAAAACTCACATGACTACCGTGAAATTTGACTGTAAATCAATATTAAACTTGGGGGTAATTCCGGCAGTATGCATAGTATTGCACATCTAATCATTATCTCACTTAAAAATCTTATCAAATTTCAAAGAGAATCTAAACCTTGGGTGATGTTCGCAACATGGCTTTACGGTATGTTATGAATTCGATTTTTCAATCTTCTACCTCGACATTGAACATTAAAATTTCATACTAAGTGCAAAATGTTCCCCAAAAAATAAAACTAAAAAACATTTTTCAGTATTTTGCAGATGTAGCATACTCAATACATGTAGGATATTAAAACGTTGCAAAAAAGAAGGATGGCAAAAAAGAAAAAAAATAACTAAAATAGAATATACAAAAAAGTTTGCAATATCATTTCTTGCAGACGACAAGGCGCGTGAAATATGACGTATTAAATTACAAAAATCTCTGCTGTCGTTTGCTCGTATCAAATAGATCACCCTAGTATCATATGGACTGACAATTGACCCTTACTAGTATTGTTGTCCCAAAGGCGTGGAGAAGTCATGCATGTTATATTGGAATGCAACATTAGATAGTACAGACATTATATCCCGTTGATAGCACTCATTATTTGTGGAACATTATTTAGATTTTGAGCAATCTTATTTCAATGATGTGTCTTGTTGCATCCTTAAAACACGTGTCTGTTTTATATTTCAGAATGATAAAATTAACTTTGTATGACAAATCACGGTTTAGCCCTAAACTATGGAGAATAGAAGACACGAAATTGGCGCAGTTTTCTTAAAATATCTCTATATTCTACTCATGCTCTGCATATTAGTCTGGGATTCAAAAAGCAACAATCATTTGTTGTGTATTGGGTTTATCTTCTAGTATTTTTAGTGTGTCTGTACATTACATCTCTTTTACATACAATTTCAAATCAAAATAATTTATTTGATTTAATGTCTCTTTGGATACCTAGTCCTCTTTTATAACTTAATCTTAAAGGTTTACAAACATAAATGCTCCATACCGAATTGTACTCCATCATTTGTAGCTAGTAAAGTTAGTGAGTACATTTCAAAAAATGGAAAACGGGGCAAATTCGTTAATACTAGACTCAGGAGTCAATCAAATCCCATTTCTTAAATATATTCAGAATAATTTACCATATATAGCAGACATAAATTCCATTACCCTTGATAAAAATCTTCATCTATCATAAAACCATAAAGGATTGGGGAGAAAATTCGAAATTGATCAACCAAATTTTTGATAAACAAAACTATCATCAGTTTTAAGAGTGAGATAAGAAAAATCCCGAGACCTCCAGCGATCGTAAAATTAATTCTTACATAACGTGACTACAGCAAAAATCAGGAGACCTATCGATAACATAATGATTAGATGAAATTGTTTAGCATTAAACCTCATTCCCTGCAACGAAATCTTGACATCGATTCGATGTTTTGTTTCAAATAATGTTAACAAAGGATACTGGAGATAAGACGTTTTATCGTTTCCCGCCTTTATCTGATGTGTCAACCTAACATCATCATCCAAGTTCACGTAGACATTATCAATGGCGTTAAATTGTCGGCTCAAGGGGGTGACACTCACAAGGGTAATTTTTCACTGTTAATCGGTAAGACTAGGTTGATAAAAGAATACTATTTATTCAATATGACTGGACGTTTATAATCTTTTCTACAATTGTTTCTCTGTAAAATTACCAAATAATGGACTTATTTTTTCTAGAATTTGAAGTCAATGCGGGATTATTTACATAATATTTGCATATATAAAGTCGTGTTCGATTTGACACGCGTATTTACTCTTATTAAGGGAAATTAGAGACATTTTATATTGCAAGAATCGTATTAAACTTGGTATTTTCGGTACTTAGTGAATATATTATACGAAAAATATAATCCTCGCGCGTAATGAAAAAAGCGCTTGTGTGACAGTTGAGGATCAGTGTCAATCCAAACATTTTACCGACCAAAAGGGGATACGAAACGGTGGCCTTTCCGCAGGGAACTCTGCATCATATTACATCACATTACAGGCCGAGCTGGAAAATATAAATGAGAATTAATCATCCATTATTATATTAACTAAATGCAAGAAATTATCTCACCACGATGTAATGTGACGATGCTATTACACTCACGGTGAATTCTGGTTTTATGTCTTTTTCTGTACTTTTGAATGTATAGTAATTGAAAGAAAACAGCAGTATGACTTAATGTTAACCCTGGTTTATTGTTACAAAAAAGTTAAATCGTGATATTTCAATGCATGGTATGTGCAAATGCTCTTATGTTAAAAGATTTAAGTTTTATGACAAAATTATTGTATGGTACCCTTTTCATTTAAAAACTGTAGCAATATTTTGAAGATGAGATTATCTTTCCAAAAGTTTATTCGCTTTAAACAATATTTGTCATTGAGGTAAATGAATAGGATTATAGACAAAAAATAAGATTTGAAACATAATAATATATATTGTGAAAGGATTAAAAAACGCTATCTGTCTAGACGGAATGAAGAATTTTGAAACTAAAGTGTAACAGATTGTTATTGTAAGTCTGATATGATTACAAAGATCACTGTAAAAAATGTGCTTAGAATCTAAACACATTCTAGACATGTTTAAACCTAAACACATTTAGAAAAGTGTTTAAATATTAAATGCAAAGGAGTGAAAAAAACGAAAACACATCTCATATCTAAACATGTTTAGTAATTAAACATGTTATCAGTTACTCAGTAGCGCCGCCACTTCTTTCCCGCCGCCCCAGTTTGAAGAACAAAGAAAATGGCCCAAATGTAAATGGAGGACGTTGCGAGAAGGTGAGCATCTTTTCTGTGGTATATGTTGAATGATATGCATTTGTATTGAGCCAAAATGCTGGAAACAGTTTTTAAATACCATAAAAACTTTGAAATACAGAAGATATAGGGTTTATATTATGTTTACAATCATGTGAAAAGCATTTACAATCGTAACTGCCCGGACAACATGGACAATGCGCTTAATGCTCGACTGTATGCAAATAATAAAAAGTATATTACTGTCCAAACTTTTCATTGCACGTCAGAGACATTATATAAACACTTAGTTGTTTTCATATACCAACGCTGATCAAATGTTAACGTTATCATGGTTATGGTTACATCAACACGTGTAACTGTAAGTACCCGAACATCCCACTCTGGTGACCCAATTTCCCACTGTCTCCTCTATAACAAAATAATATAATGATATATTTTTAACTCTAGTTTATCTTAAAATAGTACATCTAATTATATTTGTATGTGTGATTTTTTTTTTACTAACACATTTTCATTGTCGGGTTCGGTATATAAAATCGAGCTCGGCATCTGCATTAGAAGAATCAACATCCGGTGAAGTGGTAAATCTTCATTTCTATCATATTTTCATGCCTTACTTTAACTAAGAGGAGTGTATTAAAACAAGGGTTATTCTTATGTATTGATGAAAGAATCTTACAGCAGGAATTTGTTCTTATACGTTTAGAGAATACCTGAGAACGTATTATTCCTGTCCTGCGGACTCGATTTATGTAAGGGCTTGTTTCGTGACAAAGTTGAATTGTTCTAACTAGTGCTACGTCGATATTATAATTGTATTGGAACCTCTTTAAGTATTACATTTTTATGTATATAACTTTTGTAGTGGGAGATTGGTAGAAAAGGCGGAAGCGATCACTTCAGAAATAAAAGATTTTTTAAAAGTGCACAAGGTAACAAATCCATTGCCAAGAGCCACCAACATTTTATTCTTTCCACCAGTACAAGAACCAACTTCCAGTGTTTATTCAGAGGAGGAGGAAGATGAACTAGCTGCTTATCTTGCAACAACTTTTGGAGAAATTAGAAGTCTTGCTGGACACGACCCAGCTTCATTAATTAGGGACACGGTCCAGTTTGTCGTAAATCATAAAACTACAAAACCAAACACGGGTAAGTGTTCTATTTGTATTCTTACACAGCACATGTAGAAACTTATGTTCTGATTGGTCTGTTGAATTTCAGAAATAATCACTAGGTGCATAATAAAATAATTAAAAGGATCGATACTTTATTTTCAGCAGGTATGGTGATAAATGTGGAGTCATCTGTAGATGATGTGTATGAATGGCTTATAAAGAAGGGTGTTTCCCAGGAGATTAGCCAGATTTTTAGAGGTAAAAAGTAACAGAATTTCCTATTCCCTGGTGTAATTAGGCCATAGTGTTTAATGTGAAATAATTTTTTCTCTTGGTTCTTTTTGTCAAGTGTCAACAAATTTTGTAAGACAATATCAAAGCATTCAATCTTTATGCCAAAATATTCTCCTACAATGAAGAAGGATATAAATTAGACATTGCTCTCAAGTAGTACATTAAAGCCATATATGGTGTATATTAGCTAAAATTAAAATATAAGATTAAGTGTTGATAACTTGATATACATGATATTTGTAATTTACCTTCAAATAAAAACTTTTCACTGGTTTTGAACTTGAATATCCCCATGTTTCTGTAGTGAAATTGTCTTTAAACTGTGTCAATTTAAATGCAGCACTTGTATATAAATTTGTTATTGTTTTAAACTGCTGATATCTATGAAACACAATTGAATTAAATTGTGTAATTTACAAGAAAGTTCACATGCCATATATGACTTTAATCATTTAGTCCTCTGTTTTAATGAGCAATTTTTTCTGATGATACTTTTAACAAGCACAATTAATGAATTATACTTCTTGCATATATTTTTTAGGATAACACTGCATGTGCATGAGTATCCAAGTTAACCGTTGAAAATGAATCAACAAAATTGCAGCATGTGCCCATTTTTCTGTCAACGGAAGGAAGAATTGATTAATCATTTGAAGAAAAAACATAAAAATGAAAAAAATTTCATTATTCACTGCAGTAAGCCTGGTTGTGGAGTGACATTCAAAAAAATTTTGAGCTTTAGACGTCATTTTTATAGAAAACATGCAAATGAAGAAGATGCAAGTGACGCAGAGGAGCTAGATATCAATGACACAGATGATACTTATCCTTCTGATGATGACTGCAGAGAGACTCAAAGATCTGAAGCACAGTTTTTGTTAAAATTAAAAGCAGAACATAACTTGTCAGAAAAAGCACTTAATGATATTATGGATTCGACAAAAGAAATGCTTCTACAACAAACATCTCTTATTAAACAGCGCTTTTCGACTACAATTCCAGATGAACTTTTTCAGACCATTGACTTTGAAAAAATACTCAGAGTTGAAGTCTTTTCAGGACTAGAAACTGAACATTTGCGTGAAAAATTTTTTCAAAACCATCTTGGATATGTTAAACCACTGTCGGTAAAATTTGGTGTGGATCAAGTATTCAAGAAAGTTGGAAAAAAACATCGTTTGGTTGAAAAGGAAAAAGTTGGGTTTTATGTGCCGTTTTTTGAACAGCTGCATGAACTGCTTAAAATGCCAGAAATACAAGATGAACTTTGTGCTGAGAGAGAGAATACATTTGAGTTAATGGATGTGAGAGATGGATTATACCATCAAAAATCATATTTTCAAGATCACCCAGATGCTCTACTTATTTGCTTATATCATGATGACTTTGAAATAGTAAACCCAATAGGATCGCATCGAAAGAAGCACAAAATATCTGTATTTTATTGGAGTCTTATGAACATCAACTCCGCACTTCGGTTTAAAATGCAAGCAATTCAATTACTGGCTGTTGCAAAATCATCAGATGTAAGAAAGCATGGCATGTCCACTCTCCTAGAAGATTTTGTGGAATCCATGAAAATAATTCATAAGGGAAAAGAGTTCCAAATCAATGATTCAATGAAAAAATATTATGGAACTTTGTACTGTGCGTTAGGGGACACACCAGCAGCACAACTTTTAGGCGGTTTCAAAGAAGGAGTTTCCATGGCTAAGAAACCCTGTAGAAGTTGCAATATTACTTGTGATGAACTTGGTTCATATTTATCTGAAAAAGAAGTTGCATTAAGAACCAAGGATGAATACAACGATCAATGTGAAGCCTTAGAACATTTGGATCATGCGAGTAAAGTTACTAGAAAATACTGGTCAAAGGAATATGGTGTAACAAAAAGAAGCATCTTATCAAGCATACCAGAATTTGATGTGACCAAATGCATTTTGCACGACCCAATGCACATTTTGTTGGAAGGCATTGTGAAAGTTGAACTACAGATTATTCTGCATTGCTTCATAGAGAAAAAAGGCTATTTTACTTTGCAGTTTCTAAATAACATTATTAAGATGTTTCCCTACACAAAAACAGAGTCCTCTGACAAACCTCAATTACTGGATAAGACAGCATTAAACAGATCAAACAATTTTCCTATGAGTGCAATAGAAACAAGAAACTTTTTCATTCTTTTGCCTTTTATGATTGGAAATATAATTGAAAGTCATGGTGGAGATGAAATGTGGGATAATTACATTCGTCTCTTAAAGATAACTCTTCTTGTAATGTCTCCAATTGCATCTTTTGATACAGTGCTAACATTAGAGCAGTTAATCTACAGCTTCAACTACAACTTCATGAAATTGCACCCTGAGATTCCTGCATTTCCAAAACTGCATTATCTTATTCACATTCCACAACAGATTTTAAATTTTGGACCAGGAAGAAATCATATGTGCACAAGACTTGAGGCAAAGCACAGTCTTTTCAAGAATAAAAAGTGGAGAAATTTTAAATCTTTACCACTTTCTATTGCTTTTCACCATCAGCGATGGATGTGTTTAAGACAGTGCGGTTTTGCTGGTGAAAAATCACATGTTTATCTCTATGCAGGAGATGAAGTTTCTTCTGGATGTGAAGTTGCTTTTCAAGATCTCCCAAATGCTGTCAGAGAAAAAATGCATAATCATGATGATCTTATTCCTCAAACTGTTCTCAAGACTCCCAGTGTAACCATTAAAGGAGTACATTATGAGTATGGTAGTGTGCTAATTCAAAGTTATTCTGATTTAGGAGAACCCACAATGTGTGTCATTAAAAACATTTACATTTGCAGTAACGTTAAGTACTTTGAATGTTGCCCATTGCAAATTCAAGAGCATGTTCCAGTATTTAATTCATTCAAGTGTGAAGAAAAACTGGATTATTTCTGCTTGACAGCACAGGAGTTAAAGTACAAATGGCCACAGATCTGCCACTTTGTAAATAGGAAAATGATGGTTATGCTGTGGAATGTTGACTTCTGTTGGTGTTAATTATTGAGGCATGTACCTAATTCTCTTAAAACATATTTATTGTTTAAAACCTTTATTTAAGGAATAGGATTTGAATGCTACTTAAATAATGTAGTATAGTCTAATATGATCTCCTATTTAAAGTAACCTCTTTGCACTTTTAATGAAAAACACACCTTTATAATCTGGCCAGATTAAAGAAAAATAGTTAAAAAGTTTATTCAATATTATTTTTTCTTGCAGACAATGAAATAGATGGTTTCAGTTTGCTCTTTCTCAAAGACGAAGACATTTTTAGGATGCTGCCAGGAAAAGTTGGTCCTGCACGAAAAATTATAATGTACATTGAGAAAGAACAAGTCTTGTCCACTGATCCAGAAGTTCGAAAAGATCCAGAAGTTCAAAAGGAGAAAACTATGGAGAAAACTGATTCCAATAAGGCAGATCAGGAAGCAATCGCACCAGAATCTAATAAGATGACAACAGACACAGTTGAGAAAAACAGTGAGGCAGAATTCTCAAATGCCACAGTCCAGGGATCCAGCAGCAAAACTGAGGATGTTTACAGTCAGGATCAGGTAATCATTATTATTATTTATTGCAAATGTCCGAGACATTTTTCAGTATATGATTTCAGAATGTATATAAGTGTTTTAATTTCAGAATTATGCTGATCCATCTACATTTATCCCTGCTTATTCTCCCATGATAAAAGATCTATTGATAAAGGAGGAGATCTTCAAAGAATGGGACAAGTTTATAGAAGAAACAGCATATTTCATTCTGTCAAGACCCGCCAAATTTGAGAGCAGAGGGCTGTACGCTGACTTTGGTAGAATCATGTACCAAAACTATCCTTGCATTGGACATCAAGCATATGGTGAACCATGGGTAAGTTATGACAAACTTTTTGAAAATGTTCACAATTTATTATGCTGTGTATATGAGATATGGAAAATATTTTACATATTTATTCATAGTATCGTTAAGATTTTACTAATACAATGCATTTTTTATCTAATTAATCTTTATTTATAGGGATACTTCAACAAAAAATTGTCGCAGAAAATCAGAAACATCCGTTGGAAATGGAATGCAAGAGGGAAGACAAACACCTCAGTTAAGAAGAAAAAGATAGAGCCAGAGATCAAAATGATAGAAAGTAAGTACATGTAATTACAAGTATATGTTAAAATTAAAACCCTACAACTTCAGATATATTTTTTGTAATTATATTTCAATAAAATAACTAAAAATACATGTATCTTCTTAATTATTACAAACTAGCTGCACAGTTTATAATATTGCAGAATCAATGAGTCTCACAGATGCAGGGAAAATCTTTAGAATAGAGATGGAAAAACCTCAAAAAGAAATAGACCGGGCTTTGGTGTTAAAGGCTCTAAGGGGATCCTTTAAAGAAAGAAGAATGTTTATTACAAAAAAACATGATGGGAACCTTAAAGAACTGCTCAAAAAGCTTCCAGTTCTTGGAAAAGCAGAATATGTAATTAATGTTTTATAGCTATCATTTGTTTAAAAATAAGACACTCATAATTTATCCTCAAAATTAACCCCTGAAGAGGATTTTCCTTTAATCACATGTATATGAATTTAAATTATTTATGCAGAATTTTTTGCACATGATTAATTTTTTCTTTGCATTTTATTACAAAGGTAGAGAAAGAGTTTTTCCTCATGAAGCCAAACGTCAAGAAAGAGGACATCGCAGATAACTGGACTGAAACCTTATCACATTTGGATAGGACCTTCAAGTCTGAGCATGAATTGGAGGTATGTAAATTTGGTTCATATATTCATTTGCTGTTCATGTATCATTTTTCTTCATGTTCATGTTTAACAGTTTCAGTTTTGAGTAGAAAATTTTATTGGAAAATTTATTTTTAGCAGACTTCCATTTATATTTAGTTTTTATAATTTTGATCATCTGCATAATTAAAAGGAAGAAGACGTTAGTGTTCCTGATGCCGCTGAAGAACTTCAACTCTTGAAGCAGTTAGAACAGAAAGTTTCGTTCTTTCACAAGGGGAAATCTGGAAAAAATCCCCTTATGATGATCATTAAGGTAAACAATTAAATGTGATTTACTAATTGAAAGAATGTAATTTTAAAAATACTTGTAATGCTGAAATGACCTTCTCTATAATAGCAATGAATTTCCTTTGCATTTTTTTCAGCCTGCTGAAATGAAGACAATCCCAAATAAGTCAGACGACCCACCGCGGCTTATATTTGTTCAAGGAAGTACCGGGACAGGGGTGTGTAATGCGTTCATAATAGGTGGAGGGGTACAAATGGAGGTACCTTCAGACATTAAAGATGCCTTTACCTACCTACTCTACACTTATTACGTTTGGGATCTCGCGTATCCAAAGAATTATCAGATTCTTGGATTTTTGCAAGTTTACATCCTTAAAGACAGGGAAAACAAATTTGCCATGAGCCAGAATTATTTAAAGTTCACAAAATTATTCGATGACTCCAAGAAGTAAATGTTTGATATTGTAAAACATTGACATTGGTGAAACGTTTGATGTTGGAAAGTAGAAAAAATAAGGTTAACAATTTTTGTATTGTTTGATGTTGTAAAGTAGAAAACATTGGACTAAGGTTAACAATTTTTGTATTGTTTGATGTTGTAAAGTAGAAAACATTAGCATAAAATTGTTAACCTAGTCCAATGTTTTCTACTTTACAACATCAAACAATACAAAACATTGGACTAAGGTTAACAATTTTATGCTATGTATGAAGCATTTTTATAGAAATGATTATTTATGACTTATTTGAGGATCTAAACAAAACCAGTATTTGTTTGGTGTTAGATTTAATTTTATATTCATTTGAAAACTTCATTTATAACTTTATCTTTGGAATTGTTTTCGTACTTTTTTTTCATATGTATGCTTATACAGTGATGTAAACAAACAAGCATGCAGCTTAATTTAGTGTTTTTATTTGAATAAAACTTGAAATTTTATACAATCGTTATATTTTCAGTTTCATTGCAGGAAGACAATGAAAATATCCAAGCGTTTAGTTTGTAAACATGTATCTAAACATGTTTTGTCATATGTTTAAAATCTAAACATGTAGGTGTTTAGATTCTAAACACTTTCCGTTACACGTAATGAAATTTAATGTGTTTAGAATTTAAACGTATCCCAAAAAGTGTGACAAGGAAGTGCTTAGGAAAGTGTCTATCCTCTAAACACATTTTTTACAGTGTATGATATTGGTTCTGATAATTATGATATCATCTTTTCTGTTTGATTATCAGTATTGCAATTTCTACTGTTGATATGAATGTATATCCTTCCCTCAAGTAAATTTAAAACAAAGATATCTGGGGTGGATTCCTTCAGTTATTTTATTCCAATTGTTCCTCAATTTTAGAGTTGAAGGAGAACTGCTCTAATCCACAAAATATTCATCCTTCAAAATAAGGTGCTCCAAAACATCATTTTTAAAATCCTACACATACATTTACATTGTAGCACAATAAAATCAAAAATTATAATTATGTTTCACTTACCTGCAGTGGTTTCCATTCTAATTCTTTACACAGAAAAGTTGAAATGAATTTGTTCTTAGACCAGCAATAGTCCCGGTTGCTTCTATTTGTACGTTTTCCAATAATTCTCCATCTTTTGCTGAGAAGTTGTCCCCGACATCATCTCTGTTTCGAGGTAGTTATATGGGACTAGCGAAATATTTTGATACAGCAATGTTTTTCATATAATATAGTTTCTGTATATTGTAAATCATATTGATCTGTAGTATTCCTGGATTCTTTCGTAGCTCTTTACCTTTGACAATAGATTGTATATATGATTATTACAGTTTGTACATGTAGTTAACATCATAGAGTTTATGGAAAATAAACAGATCTTCTAATAGCATGTTTCTTTGACTTTTTGATGGCCCATCAAGCTCAGGCTTCGTAATACCTGATGTTTAATATTTGTCTATAAAATAAATATCCTCTTCAAATTTCTCTTAATGTTTAGTTTTTGCAATGGACTGGCTTTTTTGTTTTCGCAGATTTAGCATTAATTTCATTTTTAAAATTATACCAGTAAAAACTACTTTGGTATGTTATGTTTTTAAATATTTATCGATTTGCATTAATATTGATGTTCAACATATTTTGATGTATAACATTTATTTAAAACATTGACTGACTTTTAATGATACGTAACCGTCTATCAGATGAGATTGATTATTTCTGAGTTGAGAAATAAACCAGGATCCTCTTATATTCTTACTTATACATGTAATAAAATCTTCTACTTCATTTCGAATCATTTTAGAATTCTTGAATTTGATGAAAAGCTTTGCAATGAATTTTGTATTTTCGATTTATTTTTTATGATGAAAAATAATTAAGTTTGTTTACATACATGAAACTAGAATTGATATTAGCAATTGATGAACCTTAAATTGACTTTTAATCAGAAATATTGCATGTTTGTTTGTTTGATTCAGATTATTTTCAAGTACACGATACTTAAAGTGCAAAAATATACAAGTTGAACAGAATTAGGGAACATAAATACGGAAAACTCAAATATATCTATGCATAAATTACAAATGTGAGGTATAGAGCTGAACAAGAAGATTGAAAATATACTCAATTCTCTTGACTCTTTACACGTAAATAAACATTTTTTGTTCGTATAATATGATCGTTATCTTAAGAAGAAAAGCAAATAAAAGGTTTCTAAGTTTATTTATCTTGTTACAGTGTGTAAATATGGATGTACTTTTAATTCAAAATAAATAAAAAAAACCTTTAAAGGGCATTCGATATAATCATGATAACCATTATTAACCATACCCTGTATACGTGTATCTGATATATGTTTACACTTTACACATATATACTTTAATAATAAAAGAACACACAAAGGGAAAGGTATTAATATCTAACACTTTAAAATCAGTTTTGTATCCACATGCTTCATGTACATTATACATCTTTTCTGATGTTTGAAGATATCTTACGGACTGAGAGTGGTATTTGCCTTTAAATTAACCAAATTCGTGTCGAATGCTAAACACTGAAGATGTTTTTGTAAGGGGCTTCCTTTTGCATACAACCTTTCTGAACATTTCAACATTAGTCTCAAATTGTTTTTGCTTCTTCTTTGATCTTCCTGACATAGAAGTCTAGGTCAAATCCAAAGTGACCAATTGCAAGTAATATGGAATTGGTCAGAGAATTCCGTGGAGCAGAACGCTCACAAAAAACAATAGCGGAGACGTTAGGGCCATTATTAAGTCTGGTAGCTGGGACTTTTTTTGCCTTTTATCAGACGACTTAATATTCCATTATCAGATTCCTCCGCCGAGATACGATCATGAAACATCCCAGATCTGTCTTGTAAGATCTAGGGTTCATATTATGATATTGCATTGCCTTATTCCATACCACGCAGTTTTTACCATCAAACACGGAGTATCTCGTCTCCTCTCATTTCTAATTTGACAAATGTAAAATGACAAGACCATAATACCAAAGCTTGTTTTTTTTCTAGCATACTCCCCTCGGCTCGTCTGTGCGTTTTCTTTCATGTGTCTTTTGTATGTAAAATGTCTGTTGTCGCTACTAATAGCAGTAAAGTGGTTCTCGGGCGCCCGAAAGAGGTATAGTCTATGTATATGGTATCGGGTATCAGTGAATTTCTTCTTTGATATATGGGAGACCAATTAGAAGCATATTTCGCTCTTCATTTTCTTCTACTTTTCTTTTCATTGGGACAAGGGATCCCGAAGGCATGATGGAGTTTGTTTGTGTTATTTGATGATGTTTTGTCAGCATTAATTTCGACATTCCATGGAAAGTCATCGTTGATGCCAGTGGGGAAATATTTTTTACGGCCCGAATCCTCTCGCCTTCGTTCAATCAAGCGCACCCATCACGGTCCAGATGACGTAGATCAAAAAGCTTGGTGGTTTTTCGTTGGTGTGCTAGGGGGCTCCCGACCTAGGCACATCACAATAAAAGCCCCGTATTGACTTGAATTTGGTCAGATAAGATCAATTATTGTTCTATTGTTATTCAGAGGGAAATTGAAGTTAATTGACGAAGGCCGACTTTCAAGCTTTAAGACAAAAAGAAAAAAAATCCCTTGCATTCTTCCCCCTTCTGTCTAAGATGATAAGATCTCTCGGTTTCTTCTGCTTGTTATATTAAAATCATTTAACTTTTTGCCTCAACAATAAAATTATGTTACAAATTACAATTTTCAATAATTTTTTTTCATTACTTTCGATATAAAGCATGTATTAAGCACCGACTTCACAAAGTCCTTTTGCATAAAGCAGACTATTTTGAACGAAATTAATTAATCAACTTTGGATTTTATGCTTAAATTTTTAATCATTTATGGCAATTATATAATATTTCTTTGAAATCTGATCCTTATTAGGCTAAATATCTTATACTTAAAGCGGGGCTGGTGTCTGAACACTATGTGAAAAGCAAGTTGAAGTGGAAAGAATCACGACAGTGTTATTCCAGACTATATGTTTACACATGAATGTAGAAATTTACGAAGACGAAAGCAATAAATTACACCAATTATAATGTCCTAATTTCTATTAACACTTGATACAATACACTTTACTGTATAATAAAAAAACCCAATCATTACAGAGAAGATAGTACATTGTATATTGTTTCTTTCTTACATGTACAATGTAAAAAAACCTGAAGAATTTCGAAGAAGAAAAAAGTAATTCGTAATAAAGAATAAGAGAAAACTGACAGTTTACCAAATGGTCCAATTATTGAAGTAGAATTTATTTGTTTTCTTTCCGATAAGACACTTACAAGAGTTTTGTTTTTGGTAGGCGTTATGACTTCACCTCTTGAAATAATAAACACGTGACGCTGTCACGCCCTCATATGCCTGAAAGGAACGACAACTCTCTAGCAATTACAGATAAAAATTTTATCTTTTTTCCGAAACATACAATTTAGCAACCAAAATACAAATCGACACTTTCTCCCTAAGGGTTCGGTAGAGAACAGTGAAAGCTCGTAATTTGGGTTTGTTTTGCTTGCGATTAAGATCAGCCCCCGTTAAAACGTTTCTTATCAGTAACTTCTGATATATTTTGCCGTTTTATCTCATGCCCCATCTATGAAAAAGTAAATATTCACATTCCTATGACAAAACTGAACAAAAATAAGAAAAAAATATTCAAATGTCACTAAGAGTAAAACAAAATTGTAAAATTCGTATTATTAATTAGAAAACAGATATACCATTTTCGCAAAACTTACACATGAATGTTGTGCCATATGAAACAAAAATCCTCTTTTTATAATTTAGGGGAATGAACTTTAAATATCGCTAAAAATGTATAAAATATGAGTACACGTGTAAAATGTTACTTATCAGGATGACGGATCTGCCATTTTTTTCTTCATTTAGGTGCATTTTGTATATTTTTTCCTTCCCTTATCACCTCGTATCCCTATCTGTGACCTTGATCATACCTTCTGCAGCTACTGATAAACTTTTTTTGCTGCTCATGAAAAATTAATGCAGATCTCCTAGTGTTGCCCTGTGGCCGTTTTCCATTTTTATGTTCCACACTTTGTATAAAATATGTAGAGAGAAGACTCTGTTCTCTGATTTATCTGTGTATCATTTTTGTTAAAATTATCTTTTAATTTATCATATATAAAATTTTCAATATGTTATTTTATTTAAGAAATATTTTTTTTGTATTCCACATTCGGAGAATCAACGACAAAAAGGGAAGTTGTTTACCCGAGTTGTAAAAAAATAGATTTCTGAAGAATATATTTTAC